CAAGCCATTCCAATATAATGGGCTTTTCTGTTTGCCCACGGAGCTTCTTGAAATGCTGCTGTCATATTTAGATATCAACTCGATAAAGGCTCTACGTCTCACATGTAACAAGCTTGCCAAAAGATGCATCGGTCCCCGATTTTTAGCATCCATTCAACACCCTCTGCTCGATGTTTCGTTGGAGAATCTTCGGTCTCTTCTTGCCTTGGCTCGCAATCCCGATCTCAGGAAGAAAGTTAATTCTATTACCCTCTTGGCTACGATCTTGGATATTCCCGGATTGGAGCAGAACGTCAAGGATGGATACTATATAGTAACAAAGGTCGATGGGCCCAGGCGGAAAAGGATTGAAGTTGACTATTCTCCCGAGGAACTTTCCACCGCGAAAGACGATCTGATATGGTTAGTAGAACAGAAAGAAGCAAGAAAAAATGAATCGCCAAGCGAGCTGGTCAAACTTCTTGAACATGTGCTCAAAACGTTTGGTGAACTGGATGCTATCCACTTGGATGGTGCGGTTGTTCGAGGTCGCAAGGAGAGAAGATGTATGAGGTCTGGAGAGTGGGTTCCACTGTGGACGCGAGCTGCGCAAGTTTTCTCATGGGTTACGAGGGCGCTGGCGCAGAGCCAGGCATCGGTGAAGAGATTCGACATATATCAGAGTAATCGCAAATACGGAATCGAAGCCGCTAATATCGGTAACCACAACGTAACGCTTGACCTAGCGGGGTTGGAAGTGCCTATTAAAGGGTTGCAATCGCTCGAGATGAGCTTATCTGGGGACGTACAGGATGCTTTGGACAATGGCGAAAGACAGGAAGATATGCAGGAGGCGGAGGAAAGGATGGCTCGCATAACCAAGGAGCAGGACTCATATGGGACACCGAGGCTTCCGTCATTCTTCCTCAAGTCTACACCCTCTCTCCGAAAGCTGGAACTTTCATTCCGTCGAACTGCCACACTAGTTTCGAAGTCGTTTAGGCAGAAATATGAATGGATTATTCACAGTATCGCCCACGAAGCCCGGTTCCCAATGCTGGAAGAGTGCACCCTTGCCGGGTTTTCAGCGAGGAGCGACTCAGTCTTGCTCCTTTTTCAGAAAAGCCCCAGTATCAGATCCTTGACGATTCACGAATGCCACTTGAGCTCTGGGTCATGGACGCCAATCTTCGCTCATCTGGAAGCGTCGATGCCGGAACTTCAGACCCTAGACCTGTCGAACTTGTGGGGCAAACACATGCAAACCGTGATGCATACACAAGCCCATGTGGGAGATGGTAATGATAATAGCAGGGAAGGGGAAGCGGATCACTGGCAGGAAGGCGATGGTTTGGTTATTTGGCATACTCACTCCAGACCCCAATGGACAAGATACACGTCAACCACAGGGAGCGGTGTACACACCATATGCTTCAATCACGAGGAGATAAAAAGGGGGCTTGTTTCCCGGCCCCTAAACCCTGGACCAGGTCGGGTCAAAAGCTCCGCTGAGCTTTGGCGGTGGCGGAATAAGCGGCTCAGGCTATATGGCCCTCCTTCATAAGCCAAAAGGTTATCACTCTTGAAGCGACACCCACGTTGGGACTTTATAATCTTGCATGTTATTGTTTTGTAAACCAAGGCATTACCGCACTCTTAACGGGCAATGTCATAGAGTTGAACAGTGAAATTTACTGATGGCCATAATGACAGAGGCACAAAATAAAGACGACGCATAGTCCGCTGTAGCAAGTGTGACTTACTGTTCTAACACGGGGAAAATGTAGACATCTGTAGCAATCAACAGTGCTGCTTTGAAGCAGGAAAAGAACCAAGGGTCGGCGTTGAAAGCTGTCTCGGAAAATACCATCGGAGTTCATGTGCGGACCCATCTAGATATGAACAGAGAGAAAAAGGGTGCCGGCACCTTTCAAAGCCACACGGTAAATAATACGAACCAGCTGGGACCCGTGATATATGGATGAAAGACCGGAGAATCTGAGACCCTGGGCCTTGATTTACTGGATCTCATTGAGACTATTAAGTATTGACCATCGGACCAAATTGATGTTCGCCCCTCAATATCAGACGATTTTCAGGAAAAGGGGGTCCGCCAAGTAGTTCCACCTTAACCATCCAATATCGAATAGGAGGTGGTTGATCGGAACCCTATTCGCTGGCTTTCATCAACAGAAGCTGGGGTTGATACGTTCCATGGATAAGAACGGGGACATGAACCTAACACTACTCGCTTAGGCCATTTGTTTTGTGCACAATGATTTCCCTCATGTTTCGATAACTCTCCTGGAACCATAAGTCTTGAAATACCGGTTTCTCTATCATACACTGGCTTCTGGAGCGCAACCTCAATCAAAATACTTTGGGTTGATCCGTATGTTTGTACCCTAACATAACAAATTTTGAGAGCTGGTGTAGTGGACCATTGCGTGATGTCTTTCCATTGCCGTCATCTCGGCGTAATCCCGTCGAGATCACAGTCCAGGACCCAGGGACTGGTAGGCTTGGAAGGGTCTGTGATAACGCCTTGATTCATGGAATGTATTAAAATACTGAGGTCCCAAGCTAAGAATATGAATCTTACATTTGGTTAACCGATGTTACTCGCAGCTAGCAAAAAAGTTGCACCATTGCACGTCCATCCGCAATTATTTGCATTTAGTTGGCATCTAGCACGTTCACTAATTATTGTGACCTTATGTGAGACCACCACAATGATGTACAATAATACAATCTAGTTAAGTTTGCTAGATTAAATGACTGAAGCATTCTAGGAGGTCCCCCTCTAGTGCTGATCAGATTGAAGCATCTCAAGGATGGTCTCAAGCGAGATACGTAAGTCATCAGAGTTGGGTAACGTTGAGTCGTTCTTTCCGCTACTTCCTCCGGAATTCAATCGGCCAATTGCCTGCAATTAGATTGTACGGTTGTATCTGCACCTGCGTCTAGCAGGACCCTGGCAATGCCTTCCCTAGCCAGAGCAACAGCGCGGTAGAGTGGTGTACCCCATTTTGCTGAAGTGGTAATAAGATCAAGACCCCTAATAAGAAGAGATCTGGTCTTGAACTCTCCTTGAGTCTCCCTCGGCTGGATGGCAAAAAAGAAAAGGGCAGGAGTCAGTCGCCCCATGTGGAAGAAAAGTATCAAACAGAGGAGTATCATTTTTGTCGGTATTCCCAGGAGCACAAGCGGGTGGGCTAACTCCCTTCGCATCACACCGGTTGAGGCCAGAACCTCTGGGGAGCAACTCATCAGAACAGGCAGTTATCCCCCTCAAACGGTTAGATTGGAGTCAGCGATGATGCCCATATTGATGAGTTCAGAAAGCCGACCGTAGAAGAGGCTGCACCATTAGATACATTATAGTTAGGATCAAGACCGTTGTCGAGATGGCGGCGACTGATGTTGGGACGCTGCTGCCCATCATCCCTGAAAGAAGGGTCGACCGCTGAAATTTGTGTCCCCGCATTAAAGAGTCTGGTTACTATATTTGCGTGACCCTTACTGGCGGCATAATTGATTCCTACATTCAAGCCCTAGGCGGTGAGCTGTCCGCTGAGGAGGGCTTCCTGGGTTTTCAGCAAGTCACCATCGAAATATGCATCATGAGAAGCTTCGACAAATGCTTCACCAGGTGCCATGTTGAGGGATTGGAAAGTGGAGTGATATTCAAGTGTTCAGTGAAAACTGGATCTGTATCTTAAAGGAAAGACATCCAAGTTTACCCGGGTGTATGACAACCTGATATACTAAAATGGCTTGGCAATTAGTATATTGCAGCCCTTTTCGCTAATGAGGAGGTTATAAGGATACTCCTCGATCTGGGAGCAGACCCGAACTCCCGGTCATACTGTACAAAGTTCAAGAACAATAGCCCTGTGGAAGTTGTCGAGTGGAAGATGCGAGCTTCTCATGAAGGCTCTTCTATGAAGCGCACGTATCAAAGTGTAATGCAGCTTCTCGAGTCTGAAAAAGGAGGGCCCTGTTGTTTGTCAGTTGCTGTGTCGGAGAGGCCAAATGCTGAAAACAGTACGAAGCCGCCTGAAACGAAGAAGGGGGGGATAGATGTACAGCGTGCTAATGACATTACGGGTTGCCCGGAATCTTCAAATTGTGGAACAGATTTACTAGAGCGTCCCGCACGGGGGCAAAGCACCAGGAAGAGGCAAGCTGTATTGGATGGTAATATTAGCAGCCGAACACGGAGTCGGACCAAAAATGTACCATAGTTAGATATTTGCCTTATGGTTCTACCGGTGACTTTGAGGGTGATCGGTTGCCCAATCAGGGAATACATGCCGCAGAGCATTCAGACCTTTTGACAATAGTAAAAGGTTATGTGCATGCGAACACATGGAAGTTATGATCAACTAATCGGTTTGAGTTAGACTTGAGTGCTGCAATAGGAGGATGTGCTGCAGTAATATAATGACAGAAAATGCACCCCTTCATGGTCTCCAATTTTATGATCATTTAATCATACTTCAAGGTTCACAAATGTCTGATGGTTAAGATATCTTTCAGTCAAAGAGGTATCTTGTGTATTGCATTACATGGGTGACCGAATGAGGCAGGAGCTACGTTATGGATCCAATATGTGGTTCAGTCTTAGTGATTAATCCCCATAACCCGCATTACTTGGCGAAGCAGTGACGCCGAAACTACACACGTATCTAAGGGACTCTCTCACACAACCTGAAGAACTTTTGCGTCAATTTCGAGCGTTCGCCTCTGTTCGCATTTTGCCTCTCACCTGGTTTTGCCTAAGGAATGAGGCGATGGTGAGTAGTAGCCTCTGAAGCCGTATGTGAACCTAGACGCGGGCTTGGCAAGAGGCTTATATGGTGGCTTAGTCCCAGCCTATATAGCCTAAATGCAGCCTTAGTTTGTGGATATATTGAGGTGAGTCGCCGTGTACCGCAAATCTTGTACCTGAGACTTCTCGGCCTCGGATTACTTTTGCGGGTGGCTGACAAATACACCAGACTGTTACGTCACTCATGATGGCCAATACGGGAGAATATTTCCATACCGTGCTGCCTTTCGATGGACACTACATTCGACTTCTCAAATTCGAGTCTACCGCCCTTGAAGAACCTCTCAGACTTTCTCTCAAGACATGCAAATTCGCAGAGAAACCCGATTACAACAGCCTCTCTTATGAATGGGGAACCACCGCAGCTGACCAACCGATCCTCGTCAACGATCAGCTCTTCTTCATCCGGGAGAATCTGTACAAATTCCTGAAGGTATTAGCCAGCAGTGCTTACAGAGACACTTATTTCTTCGCGGACGCAATCTGTATCAATCAGAATGACACCTCCGAGCGTAACGCCCAGGTCCAGCGAATGGGGGATCTTTATGCACAGGCAGAAAACGTGCTCGTCTGGCTTGGACCTGCCACAGCCGAGAGCGATCTCATTTTTGATGTATGCTTCGAGTCGGTAGTCAACAACACCAGCGTCCTATCCAAACTGGGGAAGCAAAAGGCACAAACCGACGCCCTGGATACGATATATCAACGGTCTTACTGGTCCAGGCTGTGGATAATCCAGGAGTTATTTCTGGCACGAACCATCATCTTATTTTGTGGATCAAAATCGACAGCGTGGTCGGCCTTTAAGCAGCTACCGAAGTGGAACAAGCGCGAGTTTGTCCTTGGAGGCTTTACGGGAGTTGATATGGTTCTTGAGAGCACTCCAGCAGGTCGCCATGCGAGGGATATTCTAGATGAGTTGAAAAAGAGGGACCAGGGAAGAAGCACTTTAACAAAGATAGGACTTGTGGATCTGATTCTGAAGTTTGGTCTGGCTCAATGTTCCGATGTTCGTGATCGTGTCTACGGCCTACTTGGTTTTGCTAGTGCATCTAGTGAATTCAGCAAAGCCGAGGAAGGCCGAGGATCGGAGGTCATTGTGGACTATTCGGAGAGCCCAATGTGCCTATTTGTGCTCCTTCTGCGTACCATGCCGCGTGAAGTCCGTATTGGAACTGCACTGCAGCTCTTCAACGTTCTGGAGCTACAGCGTGCTCCCGAAAGTGCGATTGTTGCAAGCATTCCAGAAACAGACTTGAGTCTATCTTTCGAGATTAGCTTCACCCATATAGGGCATCTCATGAATGTGACTCAGTCCTCTGACAAGTCCCTGCACCAACTGCTGGCAGGAAAGAGTTTCGCGCAGATACAAAAAGGCGAAAGGCAGAACGCTATGGCAATCTATGGCGGTGGGCCTCTATATAGTATTATGTCTTATGACAGTTGTGTAACAGCGTCTGGAGCTTGTGGAGGTGATGATATCTTTCTTCTGGAAGGTACCAACTTCGTCCTAATCCGACATTACAATGAATGGGGCGGTACGTCGGGTTACATCCGAGGTCTTCTTTGCAGCGGAAAAAGCGAACAAAGTATCCAGAGAGCAGGCGAAATTCTCGACAGCTTCCTCCCTCATTTACCGTTTATTAATGGTGATTGTCTCAGGGCTGGCAGACATACGATGTTCAAGCTGGCGGGCCCGGTTGACTTCGTCTATGAGGACCTGAGTCTGCGACAGATTATATTGCTCCTAACATATACCGGACAACATAGTGATTATTGGAGTCGGCAGTTAGAGGCTTCGACTAGGGAACTAATGAGCATCAGGATGAGCTAATCCTTACTACATATTCATATACTATCCAAGGCCTTTTTTCTAGCAAACCCCCGTGAAAGTCTGTCCCATGTTATGCTGCTTCCATAACCTTGTCCAGACAATGCCAGCACTTTCAAATAAGTCATGAGCGGAGGCTTATGCGGAGGAATCCTGGCTGTTGTAGCAGTAGTAGCGCCTCTCTATCTAGATGCGTGTGCCGTTGTGGTAATGTCCATAAGAAATAAGTATTAATTGATGATTGTACGGAGTAGCATCCCATCCAACGCACCTCGCAGGGCCATCAAATAACCGGCTGCAGCTATACACCCCACACTTCGTTCGGACTTCACCCGCACGTCATTCGGGTATGGTATGCACCGGGTTAAGCTCTGTCGGTTAGCATAGTGCTTTTCTCATTTCCTTCGTCGTATCGACACACTTATCCAATACAAAGGTTTCTTTCGTAATGTTACTGCTTATGACCGATCAAGCATTTCTTCTCCTTCTACATCTACCAGCGACCGACCAACGACGAAGATAGACCTTGATCCCGCTATCACCTACTCGTACGATATTTACCCTGCAACATACCAGAGTTGACGAAAATAATCCACTTCCATCAGCTTTTTCATTAGACATAGTCGAGGTACACCTATTCTTGCTTTTGGGTCCGTAAGATACTTCATACCAATAGTACGACCCAAATGACACCCGTTGCTCACAAATTGCTCGATAACAATATCGCTTAACCTCTTGGCTCCTTTCTACCATGGCTCCTTCATCGCGTACGGCCGACGGCAAGCCAATTTCCTAACTGACGACACCTGTCAAAGTATTGAAACAGATGAGCAAACAAGCTAAGTACCATTTCTCCACACGGATAAAATCCGGGTTTCGGCAAAGTCAACTGGAAACGCCACGGCGAAGCATACCGCCGGAGTTGATCGAAAGGAAATTGGAGCTGCTGTCCCACGCCGACCAGATCTGCTTTGGCTTGAGTTGCAAATATATCTTCGCTTGTCTGGAGAGATACCTTAAGTCACAAGGAATGAAACTTCGCCAGCTTCTCCCGCCCGAAGAACGGGTGATGCTATGCCCTAACGCCAAATAAAAGCCTACAATACAACTACTTCTTCGGCTTCACAATGACCACTGGAGATATTGCCATGATTTTGGACGCTCCACTTTGACACTCTCTGTCACGCCCGACCGCAAACGCCATGCTGTTTCAAATGTTACTTCCTTGAAGCAGATTTTCAAATGTATGCCGTATGCGGGCGAGGTCGACATATGTCCATGCATCAGCATCACATTTCGCGATAAGCTTCACTTGATACAACAGTGTAAGGACACTCAACCAAATATACTACGTCCTGGCGCGGTAATATTTGGTGATAATATCCCATTGAATGCCGACAGCAGGGAGCCATATGGAAATCTCAGATATGACTGCGAGTTTACAGGCCATTCGTCTGTCGGGGTTCAAATTAGGACTGATTTTTAGTTTTCTGAGATGGACATGACTTTATGCGTGATTAACCAATATGAAGTCAAGACACTCCACGAAAGTCCATCAGCAAGCTTGAGCTCTGTCCCAGTGTGTTCATATAAGTATACAAAGAACTGGGTCAGGAGAGTCTTCCATGATGGTGGGTCGAGCTTTAGAGGCTGGGACACAAGCCGTTCTACGTGCTTATTAGAGCATCGTGGCTGGGAAAGGGTGAAATCTGGGGAAGATATATATACTTCCCAGGTATTGGTATTCAAAATTCTGAGGGATTGAAAAAGGCCTAACAGAGCTTAAACTAACCACAGCAATTACTGATGTAGTACTTGTTATATAGTCTGGCGCATCTCATGTATACTGTGAGATCCGCCTAGCTATCAGCCATGGCTCTGGCTTATCCAAAGATGCATGATATCTGTAGCAAGCCCCGCATTGAAAATTCATTTTCGGGGAATGCAATGCTGTAAGATTTTACCCTGTTTACTCACGAAAGCTGAACACCCCGCGTACCTTCTCAGAATTGACACTGATCCACATGAGGAAGGTTTCAGCTACGGCATGACCGAGCCTAGATCCGTCGATCCTCGGACCGCTATCCGGAAGTTACTCTGGAATAAAGTGGTAAAATAGTGCCATGCATGACAATTCCGGCCCCATCCTCACTTTCCGGTATTACGGAAACAAGGCGCCCTGCCTGAAATATAACATCGGTGTATACACTTCAAAGATTGCACTCCAAAATAAACCCCGATCTATCCTATAGATCGTCACTATCAGGGCCAAAATGAATTCAGATATATTCCCTGAACCACCGTCCGATACCATCGGTTAGTCTCATACCCCTGTCCCCCTTAATAAGGACTCTAGACTCCGATGCGGTGCGCTAACCGGTCCGACAGACTGGTCTTCCCTTGGAAGCCAAAGAGTTGAATGTACGTTGTCTCTCTCGCTGACGGTCATGCAAGTCTTGAACTTATAACATCGGAGCTAAGATCTACTACATCTGATATAGTTCCCACTTCTCATGTGGAATGCACCTACTCCCCTACAACAAGCTCCTGGAGCGCACCCACAGTGATTAACAACCCAAATCTTCAAATCAACGGCTTCGCCGTGGGACTAAACTATGGAGGGCCATATTATGAGTCCCTTACCGGTAATATATTACATCCTTCTCTTCTCACCAAAGTAACTCAGCATACTGATTTCGGCATTTGCTTAAAGCCCGACGCACGCGAGATAATCGCATTCTTCTCTTCCGGCCCCACGATCATGCCCGTCATTTAGCAGATGCTGCAACAGCGGTAGGCATGACGGCTGTCCCCGAGCACATCTTCCTAGAGTGTGTTAGGAAGGCAGTAGCCTTCAATACTTTTTATGTACCTCCGCCTCAGACAGATGCGGTGCTCTACATTCGTCCGCTTTTGTTTGGCCCTAGTGTTCCTCGCATTCGCGATTCTCCGGCGCAGTATATCTTCTGTGTGTTTGTGCAGCCGGGTGCGGTGTATCCGCGGACAGCGGCGCAGAACGCAATTGTTCTGAGCGATAGTGGTGCTGATGATGTTCCCACTGCAGCGGAGACCCAGAAATGCTCTCGAACTGAAACTTGGGATGAGGGGTGGAAAAGGGGTTTGGGGGGTACAGGGCAGCTAGATGGCCGACAGGCAGAGCGGGACGATTATACTATGAAGCTCCAGCTGGAAAACACCCGACATGGGTCATTCATCAAGGGGTTCACAGCGTCCGCATTTATTGGGGTGCAGGAGGAGCACGGTAGGTATACGTTGATGGTGCCGAGACATCCCAGCCGGAGCATCATTAGTGATTCGTGCGTTGCGATTGCTATACAGCTTGGGTGGAAGGTAAAAGTTGGGCCGGTATGTATTCTACTGAACACATGGGTACCCTCGCACTCTTGGTTGTATTCATTGTGCTGCCAGTGGACTAACTACGAGGAATGGCCTTGACTTGATATTGTTGCAGATTTCGGTCGATGACATCGATACCCTGTCCGAAGTCATTGCCACCAGTACTTGGCACTGGCTGCTCCCAATTCGACTGATATTCTATCCATCCGCCCGACAGACAGTAGTCTACCACGCTGGGTCTCATAAGGCGGGCTCTGCGTGTCGAGTACTGCGCAATGCGATCGGAAAAATTATGGGTGGGGAAGTCTCGGACATATGGCAATGGTGTGTGTTGGTGACGCAGGAGGATTGAATTCCTGGTTGAACGGCGGCATGAGTGGAATACGGGTAGATCTAAGCGCATTAGCACACTACTAGCCGCTTAGAGTCGAGCTGAAAATCCATTCACCTCTTCCCCCCGTTGGCTGAAAAATGGCATGGGGGCCATTGATTCCCGTGATCTAGCTAGCTTTTCCTCAGCTGGTGCCTGCCGTCTCCGTTTAAGAGGGCTCATGTAGGTGTTTTCTTCCTGGACCCCATGAGAAAATCAATTTATCCTCACTTCGTTGCATTCCATCCATGGCATGGTATCTAGGTCCTTACAAATCGTTGGGTGATCAATGGTAAGATGCGTCACGGCGATGATCATGCAGCTGGCCTGTCCTACAGCAGTTTGTAACCGTCCTGCAGTTGCCTCCCACTGGTATTGGATAGCTGCCCTATTTATTAATGGTACTCGTATAGGTGATTACTCTCACGTGTATGGCTACCGGTCGGGTTCGTGAGGTTTGGGCCATATCAGCATTCGATCGATGCGGACATTCTTTGGGATACCCTCGAGCTAGCCACCGCTGGCGAACGTCGTGCACAATCAATTTCCCCAATTGTTTCTCCTCTGAGGTGGACTGGCCAGAAGAGTTACACTGAGTCCCAGAAAGTACTGTTTGTATTAAAGAGGAGGGGAATGAGCACGAAACACCGAGATGGTATTTCGGCTAATTGTCGTCCGATAGCCGACCGAAAGCACCGCAGATCAAAAGGAGGAACGAGCGAGGAGCTGTGCTGGGCCGGGCGTTGGAACAGACCAACCCCTGCGAGAATACTTTCTTTGGCGTTGTCCTAGACCAGGGTATATGGGGCTGGAGTGGGTCAGTGGGCCGCGGCTGGAACTCACGGCCAGGCCCGACCCTAAACTTAGTGGCTGGCTATGGTCTTCCCAGTCCGATCTAGGTGGCGTTTAATAGTAGATCATCGGATTAAATTGGAGACGGGGATTTAAATAATGATTCCTTGATTTTACTTACCCTTTAAAGGAGGTGGGTGCGTGGCGTGAATAGCGTCCATGCAGTGGGGTGTGCCCGGTCATCCAACCTGCATTGTAAATGTAACGTTGGTCCGGGGTGATTCACCTAGTGCTTCGGTTGGCGCAGCACTAGAATTGATAGTCGATTAGAAATTCTTGGCTCATTCCGGTGTACATATCCGGGTAATTGGCTTGGGGAGTTTCCAGGGAGCCTGCCCATCGCACGTTTGTGGGGTTCTGTGGCCTTTCAAAGCCGGACGACAGATGGTTTATGTCTGTGGACAAACACGGCTTGAACCAAAGGACACCTCGACCGACGACTACTAGACATATATTAGGGATGGAAGCCGCTCTCACTGGCGATCGACGTCATACAGCAGGTTATTATCAATCAAACATTCCAAGTACCTGCAAGTCTGGCCAAGCCCGCCAATAGCGCCGAATGAGCACAGTTGCCCGTCGGTACATGCAATCCACGCCTGTCTCTCCGTCAGCCGTTCAATTGGTGGAGGGCGAGCAGGTTGCCTGTAATGCTAACCTCATTGGATGGTAAATCTCTCGACCATCTGTAATTACAGGAACATCTCTCTCGTGTGCGATGATCGGAGATAGGCGATGCACTCCTGCACTGACTGTACCCACCGTACCCAACACGAAGAGGCAGGCTGCCCTGGCAAGAACTAGACCCCGCCTTCCTCCTTTTGTGTCTGTCCCGACCAATCCCAGAAAGATTACTTGGGGGATTTGGAAAACTTTGGTGACGGCACAATGATCGGAGCGCAGAGGCATATGACACTCATACTGGACTGGGTGGGGCGGACTCGGCTGAAAACTATCCCAGATTAATTGTGAGCAACCAAATCCCGAGAGGGGAAGTGTGAAGACTCGTAAGGTGCATACACTGTTCCATGTTCTCGTGCCAAAGGTAGTACGCAACTCCCCCAAGGTGGCAGGGCCTGCCTTTTATACGCCAGCTGTTCATCTTTCGATTGCGTCTTTGACGAGACTCTTTGCGTGATCTTGCAGTCTACAGATATCTGCTGTGCCGTAATTGAAGCCACGAGGCATCATGAATGGAATTCGCAAGGTTATTACACGACGAAGAGGCGCCTGCGAGCCGTGCAAGGCGCGAAAGACTAGATGTCAGTTCCCGGCGATGTCCCTTCCCCTTGCTATCTTGCTTATCTGCCTCTTCAGATATGGTGGTTCGTGCCACTTTGTAATATGGCGTGATTCCACTTCTTCTTTGTTCTCCAGCTGACTAAAATTCAACACCGTAGGTGATGGAGGTAATCCTTGCATGCACTGCCGGGTAAGTTCTCACCTTGTCCTCTCAGTCATTTCGTACGCATGTCTTTATTCTGACAGCATAGCTCCCAGAGGAAGGATAGCCCTTGCATCTATTCACAAGGTCCGGCATCAGCAAGGTCCATCTGCACCCCTTCGCGGCTCAGTCCTGCCTTGAGTCTATTCGAGCGTGACCCAGATCTGCCATTACAGCACTCAATCAGCCCTCAGGGCTGGATGGAGACAATTGCTCCGGGATCTTTAGACTTATGCTGTTGGGAACTTCCCGATGTATCATGCAACCCTTGCCCGGACTGGTCGGCTGATGGCTCGGTCCTAGGAGGTCCATCCGAATCCGAGACAAGCACTGCTACTCTTCCTCCGCCTTATGGTGATCCATCAGCGGCCAGTTTAAATCATGAACAAGGAGGTGACAAAACATTTTCTATCCATATGGTAAGGTTGCATCAGATCGTGGGACTATCGTTGCAACCAAAGCTGATTTCTGACAGCTGCAAATGGAGTTCCAAAGTACGGTGATCCCCGCAACTTTCGATTCCAACTGGCATACTCATCAAGTACATTAGCTCGCCATGTAACTTCAGGCTTCGACATTCCGGCACTTTTTTCCTCCCCACCTCTCCTCGACGGTGATCATCCATGCCGCGAAAAGGTGAAACGAGCCGCAAAGCTTCTTGACTGCCAAATTGTGGGCGATGAGAAGGCATCTTATCTATTGCCTGAGGGTCAAAAACAATCGCTGGGGCCGATGCTTGACAGTGAGCCTCGAATCAGTAGCTACATACAAGGTGAGGACCATCTAGCTACCAAAGATCTTGCATTTATGTGGGAGTACGACCAGCGTGCTGATGACTTACAGCATGTTTTGAAACACCTTGGTAGGTTGCCTACGAGTTACGGGGAGCCCCTGGACTTAGCTGATAGCCCGTAGTGCTGGTGTCAATATGTTCCTGACTATGGAAGGTGCTCAGGAGTGTGTGGATGCTGTGCTGACGTCCGACTGCTCCGATCGAGCCACGGTGGTGGTGGCCTATGCCGTCCTGGCGTTGGGCTGCTATCTTGTAAGCATACATTCGAGTATCAAAAGTGCCGTGGGAGGCATGTCACGGGCCACTGGATATTTTCGACGAGCGTTGTCAGAATCGAACTATCTCACAATGGATAACGCGACTGTTCGGGCATTTCAGGCAAGTGTTCTGCCCCGATTTCTAGGTCGATACAGCTAACCTTTCCATCCAGGGGATTCTGATCATGGTGAGTAGGCTCAATGGTGAAGCCGAACAAAACAAAATTGACATGTGACAGATCATCTTCGCAGACAAATCCGGTCATCACACCAAACCCCGTCTCATCACCCTCGGTGTCCAGTTCGTGCAGGATTTGGCACTTCATAGCTCTCGGCGCCTGCGACAGCTTTGCACCGAGGCCGACGAACGATTGCTTAAGAATGCCTTCTGGCATCTCTATGCCATTGAAAAAGCCGACGCAGTGGACAGAGGCCGATCTTCGGTGAGAGTCCTTCCTCACCAACGAAGAGAAAAGAAAATCTAATATTCAACTATTTAGATGATGTGCGACAAGTTCACCGACTATTCGCCCAGTGTCGAATTCCAGAACCATGATGAAGCACGGTTGACGCTTCAATGTTTTTACGGTCGTGTCTGTGATCGTGTGATAGATTCGCTCTATAGCCAAGCAGCCCTCCGAGCACCACGAGTTGACATGTGCCGTCAGATAGAAGATGCATATTGCCTGGTGCAATCATGGCTTGGTATTCTACAGACCTATAACAATTCGCTCAATTATTCTTCAGGGCGCTCCTCTTTCCTCCAGGAGCACATGGAGTCAGAGACGCATTTGAGCTCTTATTTTCTTACATTCTTGATTCACGGAAAATGGCTCCAACTCGCGCAGCAGGGACTGGCTCCTGAGGAGAGAGAGGCGTATGAGCGAAGTGAAGCACGATGTCTCGCTGCTGCGCGATCGGTGTTGGAACAATGTAGCCAGCACAGCCATGTCCAGATGCTGGCTAATATGTAAGTCCACCACAATAATCTCGTTGAGACGCTGGTCGACTAATCTCGAGTTAGGAGATTTCGTTCGCTTCCAAAAATTGCGGCATGCATTCTCGTTATTATAGGGCAATCGTGCGACCGATTGGATGAAGAGCGGATGTACCTGCACATGGCATCTGGATTTTACAGTCGTCTTGCCATCTTCATGCCCGTTCAGTTAGGTTTGTTGATGGAGTTGACGAATGAATCGGCGTAGCGATGAATGCGAGACGGGCGGCTATCATATGCAACGCGAATGAAATGAACATCAAAGTAAATTACAAACTCATAGTCCACAAGCGACTGAAACTTCGCTGTCGTAGTAAAATAAATGATAATCTAAAAAAGGAAGTAGCGAAATAGACGAAAACTTTAAAAGTAGTCCGTCGATCACTAATTCTTATCTTATCACCCCAAAGGTAAACCCCCAAGGTCCCTGATTCATTTGCTCAACAAGACCGCAAATCTTGGTCATTTCTGCACAATCAGTCCTCAACTTTGCCAAAAGCTTTACATGGTCCAGTCTCAAGGGAAGAATGTCTCCATGCAGCACTTCGGGATGCGGGTATGTCTTTAAAGATGTGACCGCAACGCGGAGAAAGTAAGACCTGCCGGTTCAGAAGCTTCTTTGGAATCCCACCCACTGATAACTTACAATCAGAGCCGATTTCCGAGTCCTCCCTCTTCTCACCATCGGCTTCGCAACCTACCAGATTGACCGCACAAATATTGCCAGTGCGCTGACGGGAGGTTTCGCATCGGATATTGGCATAAGCCAAGACATTATTAATCTAGGCAATCAACTTATGTTTTTGGGTGTGATTGTCCTCGAAATACCGTCCAACATGGTTCTACAAAAGGTACCTTTTCTCTTACACTATCTCATGCATAGATCTTATCCTGTGAATCCAAATAAGCTCAGTGTACATGTACTAGGTCGGACCCCGCCGCTGGATCAGTGCCCAGGTCTGCATCTTCGGAGTCATTGCCGCATTGCAGATCTTTATTCGGAATAAGACGGGTTTCCTGCTTACTCGAAGCATCCTGGGTCTCGCGGAGGCCGGGTATATCCCAGCTGCTATGTACACTCTTTCAACGTGGTATACGAAGGAGGAGTTAACGAAGCGCATTGCAGTTTTCTTTTTTGGAATGTTTGGGGGCGCTGCGGTGTCGCCGTTACTTGGTGCTGCCTTGCTCAAATTAGATGGGAAGGGAGGATTGCATGGTTGGCAGTGGATATTCTTGCGTGAGTGCTGGTTTTTTCCACCATTAGCCGTTATAAAACTTTACTGATATCAGTAGTGGAGGGAATATGGTCGGTCATTATTGCGATCGCTTTGTTCACACTACTGCCGGAGAGAGAGGGAAATGCTAGTGAAACCTCTGATGAAGAGTCTGCTTGCAAATCTCAGTCATGGAATGGGACCACCTCTAATACGATTCCTGTCAAGGTGGTTTGGGAAACACTCACAAACTACACCAAATGGCCCCACTTCCTCGCCACAGCATGTGTCTTCGCAACCTGGAGTCCCCTTACTACATATACTCCGACAATCATCATGTCACTGGGGTTCTCTCGCATCCAGGCAAACGCTCTCGCTGCGATAGGGAGCTTACTCACCCTACCGGTCATTGTCTTCTTCGCATCTCTGAGTGACTGGTCACGCAGGCGGGGGATGAGTGTTATGCTTGCAATTGCTGTGTATCTCGTCGCACTCATTCTGTTGAGGGTTTTGCAGGTCCACGTCTATAGATGGGGGCGGTTTGGCCTCTGGACGACTGTTAATGGGCTGGCGGTCGGGTATCATCCTGTTCATAATGCTTGGATTCAGGTTAATTGCTCTAGTCCCGGGGAGAGAAGTGTTAGTGTGGCGTGAGTTTATTAATCCTGTTTGATATCTTGCCGTTATTACTAACTTGGTTGGGTAGGATGTGTACGTTTCCCCTGTTCTGAAGATTGGTATGTGGATGCTGAACATGATTTCTAGTTGTCATGTCTGCCACGGCTGGGCTCATGGCCGGGACGCAGATCTTCCGACATGATGATGGTTTGAATGGGTAAGTTTTCATCATACAAGACAGGGAGCTACATGATCTGATGCGACATTCACAGCTATCCGAGGGGCATACTGATCATGATATTTTTGGTCTTATCCGGCCTAATCTTGGTGGCTATTCAGAGTGCGATTTATCGCTCAGTAAACCGTTCAAGCAAGAGTAGGATCGTCCAGGAGACTTGATGAATCATCCTTGACAAAATTGCTTTTACCTTGTACCTAAATACACAAGAGCAGCATCTACACGATCTCATTCCCTCCGCATTCGACATTGTCCTGCTCGTCTCTATTCTTCACCCCCGTCTTCACCGACTTCCACTCCGGCACAAACGTTGCCAAAACCGCTACTCCCGCCAACGCAACCGAGATATAAAACGTCCTCACCACCGCTGCATTATACGCCTCTAACGCCTCTCCCAGATACTCGGCAGGCACTAGGTTCCTAACCTCCGTCGCTCCCGCAGCGGCCACACTGCTCGCATCTACACCCGGAATATTCTTAGCGGTTAATCTCTTCACCAGCTCATTCTGAAAGATATTCTGCGCCACGATCAGGAAGACAGCACCTCCAAGCGTCTGATAGAATATCATCAGAGCCGTACCAACAGGCACGTCTTGAGCGGGCAGTGAAGCCTGCATAGCGAGGACAGTTTGCTGCGCCCCCATGCCAATTCCAGCACCCATGATGACTTGGTAGCCAGCCCATTTTACGGTCCCAGTGTCCGGAGTAAAGGTGGTCATCAGTGCGGTGCTGATGAGGACCAGGATACAGCCCATGATCATAGTGGGAGTGTAGTATCCCATGGCGGAGACTAAGGCACCGCTGAGAATGGAGAGCACAATCAGCGATACGAGCATGGGAAGGTTCATAATCCCCGAGCGTACGGCGGAGGCACCTTTGATTACTTGGAACCATATCGGGAGCTGTTTGGGAGCAGATGTTTGTTAGCGGTGGGAAGCACTATGTCGCTCTTCAAGAGCGAATAGGACGAGGGCTTACATAGTAAACGAGAATATAAAATGCAGCTCCAAGCATGGCGCTATATAGACCGCAGCTCCAGACATTTCGGTTCCCCGCTACCCTTGGTGGTATCATTGCCATTTCTTTCTTTCTGGCCTGCACAATGCAGAAGGCCACCAATGTGACCCCGAAGATCACGAACAGGGCAATAATGCGACCGTTGCTCCAGGTCCATTTCGCCCCACCCCATTCGATGGCCAGTAGGAGACAAATAATGCAGGCACTGAAGAGTACTGTGCCTTCAATATCGAGCTGGTTTAATCGCTGTTTTAGTCTGCTGCCTTTCGTTGCATCAGGGACAAAAGTAGGAGAGGGCGCATGGAATAAGAAAAGGATGACCACGGCGCCGACTCCGCCCAGGGGGAGATTGATGTAGAAGCACCATCGCCAGGAGACCTTGTCTGTGAAAGCACCCCCCATTCTATAAACATTTACTCGTTAGCATTGACCTTTATACTTCTCGAAGAGATATATGGAGAAAAGGAGTATATCTGACAATGGCCCAGCCACGGCTGCAGCGCCCTTCAACCCCCCAAGAATACCCAAAGCCGTTGCCTGAAGCCGCAAAGACATGCTCGCAGCAATGAGCAAGATAGTACCCGAAAGAAGCCCTGCCACCCCTATTCCTGTGATAGCCCGTCCAAGTATCAAGCCAACCGAGGTGGGAGTTGCCGCCGACACGACGGATCCAATTTCGAAGATTACCAAATTTGTCATGTAAACCCATTTAATGGAGTACATGGTACATAGCCGACCGTGGAGGATCTGTGTGGCGCACATTGTCAGTAGGTAGACCGAGCTGTACCATCCCATATCGTCGAGTGAGTGAAAATGGTCCGTGATGACGGGGAGAGCAGGTGCAAGTATCGTGTTGTCCTGTCAGAGCATCAACACATTAGCTTTTCCTTTGTGTAAATGACGGCTTTGAAGCATGAAAAAAAAAATTTAAAAAAAAAAAAAATAAAAATAAAAAAATACCAGCGCAACTGCAAACATCACCAGATACAACGCCAACAGTATCGCAATCTGGCGCCATTGTGTCGGTGCGTTCGTGTCGGTGGAGGTTTCGTGCGCGATTTTTTCGGAGTCACTAGGCCGGTCCTCAACGACGGAGGAATCTGCTGCAGAGACTAACATAGTCTGGGAAAATGGGACTGGGCTGGAGATGCGCAGCGGCCTCCTTCCAAATGATCATATACGATGGGGTGACCGGGCGTCTGTGGTCGGTGGAGCGGATTTCCGGCCGGACTCGGATCTGCAGCTCGGTCCGCAGATGGAAATGAATCGATACACTATCACCAACCGGACCGGAATGGGTGTCCACATACAACACGAGCTGAGCCCAGGTAACAGAGGAAGTCTCGATTCGCTTTACGTTATGCTCAATTGTTCCAATAATACATCCGACTCCGTACATAAAGCAATTCGCAAACATCCTAATCACCACACATCCTGCACCACCGCAATGCAACTACTCTACATAACCCCTGACTACTTAACTACTGTCCCTGGGAATGCTCGACCGTCAACTGCACTGCAACTGCCGAAGCCACAAAAGTGGCATTGCTCGCAGCATTGGGAACATCCTTCGCTACGGAGGCATGATCACCAGCCACAAAAACCCCTGGCACCGTGGTCTCCATCGTGACATCCTTTTGCTTGTAAATCCCATTTCCATCCAGCTCCAGCCCCAGCTGGCTGCTCCAGTCATTTGCGACGACTGTATCCGGCATATGCGTTAGGAAACCCACATCCATATAGCTGCTAGGAGATTCCCCTCCGTCTGGTTGTCCCAGCCAGACCCGCAGGGTATCTCGCGAACCCTCATCAGCCGAAGCAATTCGTTCTAAGGAAAGAATTGGGCGAGATTCAATAATGAACCCTTGCGCTTCCGCACCAGCTTCTTTCACGGCGATCGTGGTATCTTCATTGCCGTTGGTGAATAAGGTTACTTTTTCGGCGAAGCGACGAACCATCTGTCCGAGAATCAGACCCACAGAGGGATTCGCCTGTAGTTGTGAACTCTCTGCTACCAGTAGACCTGCATTTGCTGCGCCACGCTCCTCATACCCATGGCAGAAGAGGCAGTGGAATATGAGCCGGCCCCAGTTCTCGGCGTACCCGTCAATGCGGGGCATGATGTCGCGTACTCCCGTAGCGAGAACAAGCTTTGAACCCAGGTATGAAATTCCATCTTCATCGGTGACCTCGAAGCGGGACCCTATACCGTCGTGGGGTAGCTTGCGTGCTTGGATAATTTTCTTGTTGATGATGGTATTGGTAGTGTATCTATGCAGGAGGGTGTCGTGGATGGCAGCGCGGAAACGGGCAGGTTCCACATGCTAACGGCAACGCAGGAGTGATTAGCATGATTAATACTGGGTAGACAAGAAATGGAAGCGTCCTACATCAAATCCGAGGACATTATGCATGTGGGATGTCTGGCGGTTGCGGTACTCCTGGCTGTCGAAGAGGAGTACCGAATGTAACTTGCGGGATAGCGCCAGGGCCGTGGCGAGGCCGGCGGGACCGCCGCCGATGATGAGCACGTCCGCTGTGATGGCCATGGTTATTTCCCACTTGTAGCTTCGTTTGTTCTTGATTGCTGCGAAATAAATTAAAGTAAGCTCTTCAAGGCCTTGAAGGGTGCGAAAAGAAGAGGGGCTTGCAGAGTCCGTTAAGTAGGGCTTCAGCCCGGTTTGGGATCTCGGACCGCGGATTACCGTCACGTTACAGTACCTCTCTACTGTTTTCCGGTGCGATTCCGATGCAAGTTCTCTTTCGGCTCTGCAACAATGGACTTTATATTTGCCCCGTTAATTTATCAGAGTACGCTCTGCTGCAGCTCAGCCGCAAATCCGATGTTATTCTGTTTGCTTACCCCGGTTGGTTTTGCGTTAGTGGCACGGATGCCGGCAGCTGGAAACCGGTTACCAACGTGATGGATGAATATATATAGTGTGACCAGGTACTACTACAATACGATGGTGACCATAAACATAGCAAGTTTCAGTCACCATTCATCTTTATCTTGATAGTATTCAGTGACATCTTCCAGTGCAATAGTTCTACCTGCACAACATGAGTCGCTTCTCTTGCATCTTTCCTACCTTGACGGATGGGTATGTCCCGAATCCAGATCACACTCGTGCCGCGGGTCGGCGCACATACAGAATCGACCTGAGCGGATGGAAGGCCCCAGGCAGTGAGACAGAGTCACTTATTCTGGCAGCCTGGGGCCTGGTTCTATCCAGCTACGTGGGCACCGATGAAGTAGCCTTTTACGTTGTGCCTACGACTGGTCCGGATACGACAGCATTGGCCGAGTTGAAGGTCGAGGGAGACATGTCTCGGCAGTCCCTCACTTACGCTGCCGATCAATTGTTGCACCCAGGTCTTGTGGGTGCCGGCCAGGTTTCCGGAGAGACCGCAAATACCATCATCACCTTTGCGAACGATATTGAGTCCCTATTTGTTACACAGACCGAGGTACGCGTGTCACCACCCGTAGTACAGTGGACTGGCTGGGCTCCTGAACGCTGACGCACATCTAGGAGTCCTTCCTATCATTGCATGTTTATCGTGATGAGCAAGGACACATTTCACTATCGCTTACCTACTACCTATCTCTGTTGACCGACGCGCAGGCAGCAAATGTGGGTACTGCCATGGCCCAGGCGCTGGCCGAGGTAGGGACATGCGACAACGACAAGCTAGTCAAGGACCTCAGCCTTATGAGTCCGGCACACCTAGAGCACATCTGGCGGTTTAATGCTGATGTCCCCGGTATATGGGAAGAGTGTTTCCATGATGTGATTGAGCGTCACGCCGCAAATCGCCCACACTCCCTGGCGGTCGATGCCTGGGACACGAAGCTCACCTACACCGATCTCGTAAGGGAGGCACGCCTGCTCGCAGCGTACCTCCAGCAGCGCGGCGTAGGCCCAGGATCTGTGGTCCCCATTTCCTTTGAACGGTCGGGCGCAGCTCTGGTTGCTATGCTGGCTGTGTCCAAGGCCGGCGGAGCCTTTGTCAGTGTGCCCCCGAATCTCCCTGCTGGACGAGTCGACGCCATCCTGGAAGTCATTGAAGCACCGTTTGTGGTAACTTGGGCCAAGTACGAATCATTCTGGGCTGAACGTCTGCCTACGCTCCCTATCGA